TATATTTAATATGATGTATAATGTTTCTACACATTTTTATATTTAACTAGATGTATAATGTTTCTACACATCTCTATATTTAATATGATGTATAATGTTTCTACACATCTCTATATTCAATATGATGTATAATGTTTCTACACATCTCTATATTCAATATGATGTATAATGTTTCTACACATCTCTATATTTAATATGATGTATAATGTTTCTACACATTTTTTATATTTAACTAGATGTATAATGTTTTTACACATCTCTATATTTAATATGATGTATAATGTTTCTACACATATTCTATATTTAATATGATGTATAATGTTTCTACACATATTCTATATTTAATATGATGTATAATGTTTCTACACATATTCTATATTTAATATGATGTATAATGTTTCTACACATCTCTGTACATTAGATTAAGTGCATAATGTGCTTTAGTAATAATGCAGGTTAGATAATAAAATTTTAATCAATTAAGATGATCACTAGAAAGTTTTGTTGTAATATTGTTGATCATATACACTGTTTGGTTAAAAACTTGACATATTAGCTCACAAGCATTAACAATAAGCAACTGAGATTGATAACATTTGACCATAGTTTGTGTAGTTAGTTGATTTTTATTTTTTAGAGGTTTAAAATAATAAAAAATCATTTTTACTTATTATTAATAGAGTTTAAAACAATTAATATTACTAAACATTTAGTTGACAATCACTGATGGTAATTATTGGTGCTAGTTTTAAAAAATGTGCAGTTAAAGCTAGGAAGGTGTGAAATTTCCTTATTCATTGTGGTTAGTACAGTTAATAAAAAAAGATAAGTATTAGGTTTTAATCTTTTGACGTTATTGTATTAACATTTAATAATTAACCATGGAAATTAGCTTTCCAGTTCATTAACTGTTATGTTTACTTAATTCCTTTGGAATATCATGTTAATTATGTTACTGGACCAGTGTACAATTAGAACAACTTGATTTAATGTGATTATTTGGTGCTTAATTAGGTGTCAGCACAAGATTTAAAACATCATGATGTACTGCCTATTCCTGTTTTACTACACTATTTTAAAGGCACAGTCTGCTGTTAAATCATAAATGTGATTAAATTTGTATTCACAAATTGAAATGTAATTCTTTAAATTGAACACGTCCTTATACTAAAGGAAGTAACTTTTAACTGGTGAAGTTACATGAACATTGTAAATTCATAACATATATTATTATTAAAATTTAATCAAAACAAGCTGCGTAGAATTATCCTTGAAATTAACATAGCAGCTTTAACGTACCACTCTTATGATTAGAACGATTTCATTCGTCAGTTGGGTACTTGTGCCGTTAACAAGATTAATTATTAATGTCTAAGAATCCACTTTGGATGAAAGTACTTAAATTGAATATAGCATTAAAACATTTATCTAGTTTTTCTGAAATATGTTATGTCTAAATCATCCTTACCATATTTATGAACTTTTCACATCATAAATAGATATATTATATATATTGCACATTTTAACCTATACTTTAAATACCTATGGTTTTAAGGAATTAAAGAATATGATTTATTTACAAAACTCAAAATCAAACCGTTTGCTTGAAAAGGGTTACATAGTGTTTCCAAATATTGGGACTACATCTCTGTCGTAGGCAGAAGATGGGAATCTGCGAGGCATTTTTAGCACAATTTTAATCTTTGTGTACAACAGTTATAGGACAAAGTGTTCATTATTACTATTTTAAGATTTAAAATGAATGATAGGGTACGTACACTGTCGGGTTATTTACAACAACACGGACTTGTTAGTAAGTGCATTCACTTTTAAAAACTAATTTTAATATACCCGTTTTCCTTTTGTATTTCACGTGCAGTTAACCTGATGATTTGTCCTCATCAGAGGTCACTTTGTCTGTAATTTATTACAAACGTAACTAAAAAAAAAAGAAAGAAATTACTTATATCTGTATCACTTTAGAAACTGAGGGGTGGGAAGAAGTTGATACTAACGAGGTTGGGAAATTTTGAATAATTTCCTGGTACAAGATGTGAATAATTTTCTGGTCAGCGTTAACTGCTGTAGGCCCCAACTTATAAGGTACAGTTATAAAGATGTTTGTGTATGGAAATGTCATGTTCTATTCTAGCATGCCAGATTTATCATGCCAGGTTATCAAGATTTATATAAAGTATTTTCCCGAAGAACTAACTGCATTGACTTCAGGCCTCAGCTTGAGAATGAAAAGACTCTTTTTATATGGAGGTTTCATTCATCATTGGTCCTTGCAAGGATCTTAAACAAATTGGAATGAACAAAAACGTCATTCTCCTGAGGCATGTTCTAGTATACTTGACTTTGTTGGTGATCTGAAGTTGGTGTGTTCTTTTATACATGTTATTTGTTTCCTCTTTGTGAAACCAATATAACCTGGTTGAAAACAAAGGCAAGTAAATATATATAAACTACTTACGATGACTGTGAAGTTGGTATCTGGTCCTTAGCTGATTCTTTATAACTGAGGAATATTTACCCATAAATGGTATAATAGTGGCTAAAGTGTATTTAGACATTTCAGTTGGATTTACACAAAACCTTCACGTATTCAGATAAGTAAAAATTATTTTGTCAATCATATCACGTGGAAATATATTTTTTGCATATCAAAAATCCTAGATGTTAGTAACTTTGTAATTGCTAGATAATTCATCCATATGGTGAAATAATATTTTAACTAAACTTTCTTTAAAACCATTGGGCGTGAAACTTGAAGAATTGAAATATAAGTCCATGAAAGTTTTCTTATGGTAAATTTCACATTGGAATCCACCATTATTATTACTAATTAAGTTGTGAATTAAGTTCTTAATTATTATTATTATAATATTGTTATAGTATTAAAGTTATTAATTTTTATTATATTATTAAAGTTATTAATTTTTATTATATTATTAAAGTTATTAATTTTTATTATATTATTAAAGTTATTAATTTTTATTATATTATTAAAGTTATTAATTATTAAGTTATGAATTAAGTCCATGAAAGTTTTCTTGTGGTAAATTTCACATTGGAATCCTCCATCGTTGTTACTAATTAAGTTACGAATTAAGGAAAGTTTATGGTCTTCCTGATGTTCTACAGTAAACTGTTGTATTTACTGTTTAGATATCTACATTTTGCTGCTTAATCAATGCCTAATTTTTACAGATTTAAGAAGGTATATAGTTGTATGTTTCACAAGTATTTCATTTGTTACTACCATGATTTTGCCAGTGAAGGCATCAAGGTAGTAATAAATGTGAAACATACCATTGCCTTAGTTTTCCTCAGTTCTGTAATTATGGTACTAATGGTTACAAGTATTAATTGTATAATTTTGTTTTTTCTGTAATGATAGCAATTTTCTGATGCATAAATTTAAACCATTGACAGCATAATGTTTTGTTACATAAAAATAGTAACTCTGATATTACAATATATATATATATATATATATGTGTGTGTGTGTGTGTTGCTAAGCTGCTTGCAAGGATTTTTAGTTATGTGTGGTTATAGCTATAAGTCAGCTCCCCATGGAATATTAAGGCCTGTAGGCCTGTAACATAAACATGTTTACACCACAATAGAAATACATGTTGTGGGTCTGATAAAAACATCTCTGGCAAGGAAACTTGTATTTTCTGCTCTGTTTGATAATCTATTTAGTGGGGTAGGTGATCTAAGCAAATCTAGCGAAGTATCCTAGATAACAGCACGTGCATGTACAATATGGCAGAGGTTACCAACCCAAAGA